AGGAAGATGCTAGTCCCAGCAGTGTGGGAAGTATAAGGTTAATTAGCGCTACAACTACAACTACATGTACAAGGAAGAGGGGCGACAGGTTCAACGATTTCGTCATGAAGTCCAGTAGTAGCTGTTCGTCAGTGAATTGACGATTTCGACCAGTCGGCATGTTTGTTGATGTCTTGTTTGTCTGGACTGACATAAACTCTCTTACTCTGTAAAACCTATTAACGTCACAATTTTTTAATGTATCCATTTATTTATTTATTTATTTACTCTTTTATTTTGCTATTGTAGTCTTGGGGTACGGTGTTCGCCTCTTATTCAAAAGGTCCCAGGATCGAAACCCGGGGGTGACGAACAAAATCCCCACTCCCTGGCCTCCTCCGAGTTCCTCTCTACATTAGTCCCGTCTCTTTTAACTGCTACTTCTGTCTCCTTCTTACTGTTGTCTTTTAGAGACTTTCTGATCCTACAACAGGCAGGTATCATCGAACACCAAGCCTTCTCGGATAGCCTAAGAGCGAATAATCTCAGAAGTCCAGTTTGCTGCGCAAGTTGGCGGTCTTGAAATTGACAAAAGTAGGCTTCGGCCGCCACCAGAGCAAAAATTCTAGATTAATTCCTAAAACAGCTGAAAGCACTCTAGATCAATATAGAAACACAAAGAGTACATTCAAAACCCGAGCATGGTTTCGTGAAGGCAAGGGGGCCCTGCGGTAAGTAAAAATCAGTTGCATTGCAGGTTGAAGAACCATCAGTCTTCTCCTGACATCTTGCAGGAGAACGCAAAGAAGAAAAAGATTGATTACAAAAAAAAATTATTTTAAAATAATCACTATTTAGATCTAAGAGGCGGCTTCCTTACAATACAATATCCCAGCTGATAGACCGAGACACTCAATATAAAATTCTCCCTAGCCTACTCACAGAAATTGAACACGAGTCCTCTGCATGCGACGGCGAAGTGCCTAACCGCTACACTGCAGACGCCGGTTGAACTTTATTAAAGTTGATTTGTTGTCGTGGAGGTACAACAAACGTTGACAACAATGAAATCATCCAATGCTTTACGTTAATTCAAAGAAGACAAAATACTCAAAAACAGTATCCAAAACGGCAAGAGAAAAAAGTGCAAGCAAAGTGGTAATGCCTACCAAGGGAACTAACTAAATGAAATATTAAGGCTCCGTTTCATTTACAAGGTTATCCCGGAAGTAAATATTATCACGTGACATTATTTGGCGCGCTCTTGCCACACACAGCCTGAGCAGCGTCACAACACCAAGAATTAATAGCAGCGAGCAGAAAGAACTGAAAACGTAGGCCAAGCAGACTGTAACAGAGGGAGTGACCTTTAATAATTTAGCGACTCGTGATTCGACAATGGCTCCTAAAGATTATGCTGCCGAAAAAGGTATTTAAACTGTACTCCTGTTGTTACTGTTCAGAATCTAAACCTAGACTCTAGTTCTAGATCTAGAATCTAGAAATCTATATCTACTCCTTACTCTTAGCTTTGCCTTTGCCTGCCTTTGAGTTTGAGGCAGTGGAGGACTTGGTTGGAGGGCAAGTAGATCAGCCAGGCTCCAACATTGTCGACATTGACCCAATCTGCTGGATTCTAGATCTAGAGTCTAGATATATCTAGATCTAGATCTAGACCTGGTGGGGATGCAGTCTGCTAGGACTAGAAAGTAGATCTAGAAGAATCGGATTCAACGAGGTCGCCGGGCCTGACGTAAAATCTCGTTGAATTGGAGTGTCGTTGTCGTTATAGCAAATATGAGGTTTTGTGTAGATAATTACAGTCAGGCACTGAGCAAGTAAAGAGAAGTAACAAGTGGTGCCTGAAATTCCTTCATATTAAATCTAGATCTAGAATCTATGAGCTGTGCAAAAAAAGACTGATTTGTTCAAATGCATGCCTGTGTCATCTCGATTGTTTGCCAAAAAGTTGTATTGTTGTGTAGAGCCTAGATCTAGCATCCTGCAACTTTTTTTGATTCCATAGACCAGCGCACAATTCATTACGTAGGGCTACATCAAGACTAGCTTATCTGTATCATTGTAATATTGATCAGTTGCCGGGGAAGACTGACACATTTGTATCTGCGACGCCCGGACCGCTGGTGCCCTCTCCTGACACGCGCACACCGTCACACGTGTGCAGGCCGCCTATACTCCTATACTATCCGACCCCGACAGACGCCAGAGTAGACACATGCGCGTGCCAACAGCAACAACGCATGTGTTGGTAAGAAAGAAGGCCATTGATTGGTCGCATCCAATCGGTTAAGTCAATAATCATTATAATGGATGGTTCACGATGCAGGTGCAATGGATGGTTTCCGGGAAGAGATAAAGTTCGTTGTGAGAGAAAAATGAGCAAAGCCCCGTCTGTGGGAGCTGTTCACCCTTGAAGCGACCTTGTTGAATCCGAGCTTGCTCATTTAAGTTCTCGTTGAATCCGGGTTATTGTTATTGATTTTAAAGATAGTACCTCGGAAGTATATTCACAAAAGATGGGTGACTGAACAGAGAAATTGAAACACGAGTACAAAAGGCCAATAATGTTCCTGCTTACTCCACTACTGAAACCTCCTAACATCCCCATGACGACAAAACTCAAAATGATCAACACCATATTCATCCCAACAGTCACTTATCAATGCCAAACATGGACTACGAACAAGACATTAGAGCAAAGACTTACAACATGTGAAATTAAATGCGATGCTTTAGAAAAGCAGTAAAAACAAGACCAGGCTAGACAAAATTAAAAACTCCGTAATCTGAGAAATGGTTGTCACAAATGATGTCATGCATCACATCCAACACCAAAGAATCTAATGGCTCGGACATCTTCTATGGTTACCAACACACCATCCAGCACAAAGTGCCTACATCCAAAAATTCGATGGCAACAAGGCTAGAGGGCGACCGAGAAAGACCTGGATAGATGGAGTCAGGGAAACATTAACCACCCAGGGCATCCCCCTGACCCAAGCTCTCCGGCTGGCGACAGACGTGTCTTTCTTCCCGCAACTCCCAAAAGGGTATAAGCTGCGGATAAAAGTAAAGTAAGCAAAATTAGTAGGCCCTAATGATCAGTAATGTATTTTCTTCTCTGTGTGGTATGATGTGGGTCTTTGCTTGCCCCCACCTGGACGGTGCACCCCTGCTTTCCAAGGCCCAGGGTTGTTTCCTTAGTTAGTGTTCCACTGCTGGTTTGAGTAAATGTAGATTCTTTACATGAATTGATTTATAAATCAGTTTTTCTTTTCCTTTCAGAGAAAGTAACCACATTTTTGAAAGAGTTCTACAGAGATATTGGGAGCCGCAAAAAGGATTTTACTTATGCAAATCAGCTGGTAAGTGTTGGGTATTAAACTTAAACCTGATTTAGTCTGATGCTACAACGTAGACTAAATGTCTTTTGTTTTAATTTAGGGTGCAGACTTTGTTTCATGAAAGTAAGGGGAAAAAACTTTTTGGTCAAGTCACGTGACATTTAGTTTGGATTAATTTTAGTTGGACAAGAATATAATTACTTTTAATGACATTTGTTTTTGTACTATTTCAGACTTCAGTGTCTGCTCTAGTTTAATGAAGCTTATTAAGTTTAAAGACATTTCTAGTTGTGGTTTTGTTTTGCATAAATTTTTTAAAACTAACCATCTCTATCGCGTATAGATGAAGGATGTAAAAAAAAGAAACGGCTGCAGAGGCAACTTCCACTACTTTATAAAAAGTTAGATGATTGGTTTGTAATGTAAAGTGAAGTGTTTGGAGTCTGGCATTGGAGAGTTTGCTCTCCTGTAGATTATTTTATTTCTCTGAAGTGGTTTAAACAAAAATTTCCTTATTCTTTTTTCTCAGACTAAGTTAGCACATCGAGAACAAGTGGCACTGGTTATCGAAGGGGACGATGTTAACGAGTATGACCCAGACCTTTGTGAAGCCATTCTAGAGAACACACGAAGATATGTTCAGATATTCAGTGATGCTGTGCACGAGCTTTTGCCAGAGTACAAAAAGAAAGAGGTAAGAGTTGTGGTTTGTGGGTTTTTTTGGTGTGAAATTGACTTGTTGGGAAAAGTACGTTGTGGGAATGGAAATTACGGTGTATTTCGTAAGCATAAGTTGCAATTTAAAGGTAGACAAGATAGCCTTGAAGTAATTTGATTTTGCCTCTGCTGGTTCTCAGTGAGTTTAAACTAGACATTGGCATTGCATTTTCACCCTTGTAAAGTACAGATACAGTCAAACCTGTGTAAAACAGCCACCCATTGTCAAGGAGAAAAGTGGCCGTAAAACACAGGTGGCTGTCTTAGGCAAGACTGGTCAAAATGAAGAAAGCAGATCATTCTCTTCTGAGGTCCAAACCGGGGCTGATCTCAGACTTTAGACTGCCGTAAGGCTAATTCAAAAAGGTTATTGTTTTCTTTTGAAAAAGAGGGTGGGTGGTGTAAGAAGGTTTTTTTTATGTTGGTTTGTTTTTGGTAAGCTTTGGTAAAATAAATGAAATATTATGAAAGACGATGAAGACCAAGTGTCATTGTAAAACGAACACACGCGTCGCCACCACTCGGAGAACAAGCGGCGCTTCTGTCACAAGTTCACGTCTACGTCCATTGTTACTTTGTTACAGATTAGATGAACAAAACAGTTCATTTGTATGATTTTGTGCATGGGTTGTGGGCAGGGCTTATAGTTATAGGTTATTACGGATCACGCTTCCCTCACCAGCAGTTGAAAATTCATTGTTAAGCCTACCCATTGGTCAACTTGGCTAAACATTTATTGGAGGGACTAATAACGACAGGTGAATGAATTATGAATCATGCGTAAGGGTCCGGTTCAAAATTAATGACAAAGCGTCAGGCAAAGAGTGACCACGCTTTGTGACCTGAGGGAGGTAAATTTGACAGTGGGTTGATAAAAGAAGGTGATTGCGGCCACGTTGGAGCGGTGACCATTTTACGCATTTCAATTATATTTTTATAAACGTAAGGGGGCAAATAGAAAGTGGCCTTTTGTAGTGGTGGCCGTCATGGCAGGTTGGACTAGTTATTCAATGGTGGGCAGTACATAGATTTGAATGTAGGTATTTTTTGTTCAGTCTGCTTTTGAACAAAATAAAATTGGTCTGTATGGTTTGACACAGGTCCAGAACCGAGATGCTTTGGATGTTTACATTGAGCATCGCCTCTTGATGGAGCAGAGAAATCACCCAGATGGCCAAGAAGTGACGAGAGACCCTAAGAATAGATACCCACCCGAGCTGATCCGCAGATTGTGAGTCCTTGAGTTAAAAGAATGTATGGACTGAATTAGATGGGGTCTTATTTTGCTTTGTCTTTGTCGGAAAATCCTTGATGTTTTGCTGTTTAATCGAAATTGAAAGATCTGGTGTCCCTTTTAATGGGCAGTGTACGCTTTTGTTTATGATGTGGAGACCAGAACTGTGTCTGAAATCTGTTCCACATATACTTGCTTTGAGAGGGATTTAGTCAGAAAAATGCCTTGTTTTTAGTTTTAAAGCTAGACATACCCAATTTTCGACAGCTATTGTTTTCTGTGAGGCCCACAGTTGTTCTGTTTGTTTACAGTGAGGTGTATTTCAAAGCCCCATCAAACCAAAAGTTTGCTGCCATCAGAGACATCAAGGCAAACAACATCGGCAAGCTGGTGACAGTCAAGGGAATAGTGACCAGAGCCACAGAGGTCAAACCTATGATGACTGTGGCCACCTACACTTGTGATACATGCGGAAATGAAACCTACCAGCCGGTATGTTGTATTAGTTTCTTTTAGGTGACTTGTTATGACGTTTAGTACATAAGGAAGAAACTAAACAGATAATGAAATTGTTTCTGATAAGATGGTATGGAGAGTGTATGTTTAGAACTGGATGTTTCAGATTTTGATTTTAAGTGTCCTACCACTATAAATCTGAAAAATGTCTTGTGGATATTGTACTGTGGCTTTAACTGATTTGTTTGTCCTGTTTGTTACCTGGTTTATTGTGTCGTGCAAAGTTTTGTTTGTTGTACCATGTTCATGGTGCTCAAAGTGTTTCTTGTTTATGCGTGTTATCATTGCATTCATGGTGCCCTAAGTGGGTTTTTGGGTGGTTGGCGGGTGCTCTGGTGTGGTTTGCTTCTTCTTTCCTATCAACTGTCTCTCGTCCTTATCTCCCCCGTGAGTGGTTGGCGGGTGCTCTGGTATGGTTTGCTTCTTCTTTCCTATCAAACATCTATCGTCCTTTATAAATTAGCAATGCCAATGAACATTTCATTTTTCACTTTAGCCCTTTTTTATTTGGTACCTAAGAAAGAATTTTCAATTCTAAGAATTATGCTTCTTGAATTTTAAGAATCGGTTCGTAAATAAAAGAGTTATGGGGTTGTAAAAGTCGGCAGAATATGGATGACCCACATTTAGGAAAATACTCCTAAAAAGTGGACCACGCAGTAGCAGATTCTGTAAGAAAATCGACGATATCTCGGTAACCAATCGGAGTGTTAGAGAGAAACTTGGCTACCAGATTTACTACCTAGTTCGTAGTTATTTTGTTATAATTAAAATTTTGGTGTACTTACTACGATTTTGCGAAAAAGGGGTGACAGGATGAGCCCATTTTATTTATAGCATCGTATCACAACATGGGATCTTTAAGAATATATGTCGGCAGCGTGACTAAATAATTGCAAAGCTTTTTATGATGACTTTAGACCATGCCAACCGTAAAAGATAAGTTAATTCAATCTAGCATGCCGTACAATTAAAAATTATTTTTCCCTGTTTAGATGCAAACACCCCGAGACGAGATAACCTCGCCTCGGAATACTCCCATTGCGATGTTACAGGGGAACAGAGAGAAAAACAACCTGATGCGCGCGCCCGCCATTGCCCTATTTCAAGTGACCAATGAACGGGCCCGGAGTAGTCATGCGGGGATTTGTAGGTCACATACATTTGCCGTGAGAGTGAGGGAAAATGGCCAGTCTCCGTACGAAGCTGCTTTGTATAGGGGGGGGTAGTCGTGCATTTATGATCGGGTCTAAACAACTACTTGACACAGAACGTTCAAATTTGAGCACACCATAGAGGATAGATAGATCTATTACCATCTCAGCGTTGAAATTCAAACTCCTTATAGTTTTCGGTGTACCCGATACGAAAGTGTTCCCGACACCAAAAGTATAGGTTAATTTATGTGTACGAACTTCATTAGTTTGCCCTATTTTCTGATTGGTTGCCGAGTTTCATTCGGATTGGTTCGGAAATAGAGCAGACCGAGGTTGACAAAGTTAGTCACCTACGCTTCGGCCGGGTCCGCAAAATCACCCGCAAACGAGGACCAAATTTTCGCCGCGTGGGAAAGCCTGATTGGCATTGCTATATAAATCTCTCTCCCCTCCTTTTTTTGTTTGCTACTCTCTTGTAACACTTCTAATCATCTGGCGCTCATATGACCTTATGCAGTTGCGAGCGCTGTAAAACCTCTACAAAGACTAAAAACTAAGTGGGTTTTTTTGTGTGCGTGTGTGTGTTACTGCATTCATCATGTTATAAATCAGTATGTGTGGGTTGTTGACAGGTGCTTTGGTGTAGTTTGCTCCTTGTTTCCTATCAAACGTCTATCGTCCTTATCTTTTCTCCTTCTTTTATATGTGTTTTAATCTCTAGTAACACCTCTAATCTTTGGCACTTGTTTCACGAATTTGTATTGCAAGTGCTGTAAAACTCACTTTTCTACAGTGTTCATGACACTCTAACTGTGTTCCTTGTGTTGTGTGTGTACAGATCACCAGCACAGCCTTCATGCCGCTCCTGATGTGTCCGAGCCAAGTGTGTACCACTAACAGATCCGGGGGACGGCTCTACCTACAGACCAGGGGGTCAAAGTTTGTCAAGTTTCAAGAAGTTAAGATTCAAGAACATGTAAGTCTCTTTCAGGTCTATGTCTTATTTTTGAGGGTGCTTGGTTATCATTATTATAGATGTTTTATGAACCAGTTGTTGCTATTTTATTTGCAGACCTGCCACTCATCCCGATTTAGTCGGAATGTCCAGATTTCCCCCTCCCCCCCCAAATCTCAAGCATCCCGATTTTCCCAATTTCGATATTGTGTATCCCGATTTTTGTTCCAGTTTACTGGTGCCCTGGATTTTTCTAAAAACATACTCTGCCTGCTTTTCGCGGGAAGCACCTTTTGAACTTTTTGTCTGTTGGAACTCGGAGCATTATTTTCCGAAATCTTGATGCCGGAATTAGTAGGCTCGCCCCAAATTGTGTTTGATCTTTGCACGCACTCAGAACTCTCCAATGATTGTGATAGCCTTATAACTGTTATAATTTGCGACATACAAATAATAGATAATATTCGTAGTTCTACTGTTACTTTCAAAGCAAGCCTTTTCCAAGGTCTAGTAACTGCGCATTCACACCAAACATTCGGATGTGCGACAGCCGCTCTCTTACCCTTACACAACTAACTGCACTAGCTAGACTAGCACACAGCCATTGTCGTTGCTTTGGTCTGAACGCATATGAGGGCTAAGAAATTTGTTGGTACATTTGGTCGGTCCGCTCTTGTAGTTACCCTAGAACGACTCGCTCCTCTGAGTGTTTGGTATGAATGCGCAGCTAGTCGTGTCCGTCAGTAAAGCTGTTTCAATTGCTCGTTTGCATCACGTGACATGACTTCAGCGTGTGAATTCCACGTGTCGGGGACCGTCGGTTGACGGGTTCAATTTAAGTTCATATGCGCTGGTTAAAGTGTCTTTCAGGACTTATTGGGGGTATGTTTGTGTTAAACCCGTGGACTGGGAGTGCTTGACGTGATGTTTTAGGATTGAAAAAAAAAATGATGATAAAACACACACGCACACACAAGCAAACAAGGACACACGGAGGGCATATATGATTATATATTAATGGACACCCCTTGAAAATTTAAATGTCAGCTTGGCAGTCACCTTGGTGATTTGCTGTTGATCCCGATTTTTTCCCCCTTGAGGTCCTGATTTTGAGGATTCATAGAGTGGCTGGTCTGTATTTAGATATTTTCAAGGCGAGTGGGAGACAATTCAAGCGAACAGATGGACATTCTTTGAAATACTTCACCTCAACGCGCTAACCAAATTTACATGTTGGCGTGTGCAATGATGAGGAGTCTGTTTAATAAGCAACAAATGTTGATTTTTTAAAGATTGCATTGTAAGCTTCCATGCGCAAATCAAGCTAACCATTTCCCCACGGTATGTTTTAGACCTGCATGTTTGCCGACAATCGTCTGAAATCCGACAATCGCGACGCGACCCGTGAGGCGGCCGATGCTATCGCTAGGCCCACCTGTATCAGTCAATGTGCGTAATGCGAGGCCTGGCCGACTGCCAGCGTCCCCCCCTTTCTCCCGTCGGCTTTGTGGGCACTTTCGTTTTCGTGCCGACGCGCGCACTGCCGACTGCCAACGTCGCCGTTTCCGACATAATTGTCGGAACCTGAGTAGAAATGCGAATACGAAAAAGGACGACGACCTAAATTATCTACTTTCAGTTTCATGCTCGAGCGGCCATTTTGAATTTAGTTTTGTTGAAAAATTCAATTGTTCAGATCGTGTGGATTCATTCCAGTCCGACTCACTTAGATAATAGAATCTAGATCTAGATCTAGATTTATATAGATCATTATAGACCTCAATGGAGGATTCATATTCCAATTCTATTTTGTCAAACCCTATTAAAGGTTGTGCTGTAATATTAATGTTGGCAAAAGGCATTTCATCAGGTGCGTGAATTATTTATTTATTTAGAATCTAGACTCTGCTGAGACCCTCTGTTCGGAATCGGATGCGGATTTCTAGTTCAAGGCCTATTCCTAGATCCTATTCACTTGTTCTTCTAGATCTAGATCTAGATTTATTTAGTTTACTAGATCTATATGGAGGATTAATATATATTCCAATTCTATTGTGTTATTGTATCAAACCCTAAGATTGGCCATCTAGCAATATGTAGATGTAGGCCATTATATTATGCTCCTTGTAAGCCTTGTTTGTTTTGGAGTGTGGTTTTTTAATTTTAAAAATGTTTTTCATTTTGGACTTGTGCTGGCCTTTTCACATGAGGCTCGTTGCAGACTTTTTTGGGGTGTTTGTTGGGGTGGTCGCTCGTTACTCGGATGTCCTTCCTTATGACACCCACAAAAGCTCTTTTGGGGGGGGGGGGGGGGTTGCGCAAAATTTTCAGACAATCTGGTTGAGGCTCACATGCAGGTCTAATGTTTGGATGTTATAGCAGAAACTGCAATAAAACTGTCAGTGGAGACTGGAACTGAATCAATATATAAGACTGAGAAACTCAACTAACTGTTTACTGGATCAGTTAGATTGTGAGTCTGACTGTTAGTAAGTGTTCAACAACATCCTACAACTGTAGTCTTGTCAGGTTTCCTCACTTTTTTGCTGCCGGATACTGAAAAGTAATATTGGGCTCAGGATAAGTTTCAATGTTTTTCTTAAAACGAACGTCTCTGGTATTTGAAATAAGACAGTATACTCTTTAATTTGTTGTTCCTTTACAAAATTTCTTTCTGCCTGCCTTCTTTCCCTTCAAAGACTGTTTTTGTTTTCTCAGAGTGACCAGGTACCAGTTGGAAACATTCCCCGCTCCATGACAATTTTCTGCAGAGGAGAAACGACACGCAAAGCCCAGCCTGGCGATCACATTAGTGTGACTGGCGTATCCTTTCGTGTTTTTGCCAGCCTCAAGAATTTTTTCTTTTTTCATTAGTATTTGTCGGGGGGGGGGTTATTATTGTGGTGTATTCTGTGTGTGATAGCACAAGTTAATGTGAAATTCGTAAACTTTGGGTCTCACTCTTCCCTTTGCTCACTCTTATAGAGTACTCATTTAAAAAAAATTAATTTATTTGCGTTGTTTTTGTTTTTTTTAACCTCTTCGCTGATGCGCTCGTAGAATTTACAGGCGTCGCCTCTGAGCAGCCTTGGTTCATGAGACTTCCCCTGGCACAGGGGCCTATTTACTTGTGGCATTGAAAGGGTTAAGTGTGCCCATTTTAGAAAATATTTTATCAAATCATGTTTATGAGAGGATGTGAGGTAAGGTAATTCCTTTGGCTCGTCGGTTCGTCAAGATAAGAACTGTAGATTGTTTTGTGTTTTAAATCTGTAAAACCTGAAAGAACTTTTTGCAGGGTTATGCATCAAATGGTCAATGTCCTTAACTAGCCTTCAGATCTTCCTGCCTCTGATGCGTCAAGGGTTTCAACAAATTGCTCAGGGATTATTGTCAGAAACTTTCCTGGAAGCCCATGTGAGTATTGGTTTTCTGTTGTGAAGAAAATATTGTTATGGGTGACAAGTTGACTGTGTATTTAAAGTGCTCTATAACAGCAAAAGCATTCCTTTTTTACTTTTCATGGCCACATGAGTTTGTATTCGTATATTTCTAGTGAAGGTTTGAAGCAAAATTCGAGCATACTGATTGTGGATAGTTCCGAGTAGACAGTGGGTGCTTCAAGAATGTCTAGAATAAGCTGTTTCCAGTCTTTTGGCATTTGGTGGAAATAAGCAGTGTCTTAAAATTCCAACTGCGATACTTATTTGCACTGCGCAGCTTGTCTTGTCCCTTGCAGCATAGTTTGTTGTGGTCTGCCATTTTATGGTTTTTATTTTCTCCGAAGGGTTGTTTCCACATTTTTTATTTGATTGCTGTTCCCTCCCACTACAGAGACTGGTGCAGATGAACAAGACGGAGGATGATCAGAACGAGGCTCAGGAGCTGACTCCTGAGGAGCTGAAGCTTGTTGCTGGTGGGTGCAGTCTCGGGCGGGCCTGTCTGTTGTATGTCTATGTATGGGTGGAGGACACAATTGTTGTTTGTTGTCGTTCCATATTGACCTCTTAGTAGTGGGTGGTTGACGGGTGCTCTGGTGTGATTTGCTCCTTTTTTTCTATTAATCATCTATCGTCCTTATCTCTTCTTTTTTGTGTTTATTACTCTCTTGTAATTTTCGGCAGTGGGTGGTTGGCGGGTGCTCTGGTGTGGTTTGCCTCTTCTTTTCTGTCAAACATCTATCGTCTTTATCTCCCCTCCTTCTTTTTTGTGTTTGTTACTCTCTTGTAACACCTCTAATTTGGCACTTATACGACCTTATTTTGTTGCAAGTGCTGTAAAACTCACGAAAACTAATAAAAAACAGCTAAAGTGAAGTAAAGACTGCTTAGTGTGAGACTCCGCCATACACCATTTAGAAAAGCGACAAGGTTGAGTCTTACAAGCTTTTTTACAAACTTAAATTCTTCCTAGGGATCTATTGTGATGACCTGCGGATTGCTGGAGGGCACCCTTCGTAGGTGCTACCTTTACTGTTCCTCTGTTCTGTCTATCGTACTTTTCTCAGCACTTTATGACCATGATTGTGAGTGGTTGGAGGGCTCCACTTATAGTTCCTATTTTCTTTCCCCCCTTTTGTTTCTACTTATCTTATTTTTCCCCCAGCTCTAAACGACCACTCTTGTGTTAATGAACTTCTGTTTTACTCAACTCAAACTGACCATAATAGTTTTGATGTGCTTCGCCAACTGCTATATCATGCTATAGCCACATACCAGTATGATTAAAGCAACATGCAAAGTCATATTCTGGTGACCAGGAAATTATGTGTGATGTTTGTGTGATTATATCATGGGTGATGAATGGGTACTTTTTACTTTTTTTTTCCTTGGAACTTATTACTTTATTTTATGTAACTTTAGTCTCCTAATGTTTTTTAGTGGTTGGTTGGAGGACGCCACAGATAGGTCCAACTTGTTTCCTATGCGTCAAAATGATCTGCCTTTGTCTCTCTTTACTCAGGCTTACTCTTACTTATAGATATATTGAATTTCTATGGGTAGTTAGCAGGTGCCCTGGTGTGGTTTGCTTTTTCTTTCCCATCCAACATGTCGTCCTTGTCTCTCCTTTTTTGTTTTTGTTACTCTTTTGTAACACTTGTAATCTTGGGCACTTATTATATGACCTAATTGTGTTGCAAATTCTACTAAAACTAAAGACAGTCCCTGAATTTCTGTTGCTTTCCTTTTCAGAGGATGACTTCTATGACAAACTGTCCATGAGCATCGCTCCCGAGATCTACGGACACGTGGACGTGAAAAAGGCTCTGCTGCTGCTCCTGGTGGGGGGCGTGGACAAATCGCCCAAGGGAATGAAGATCAGAGGTCAGTTCTGGGGACAGGTAGCTCTGGGGTTTGTGCTCTTTTATAATGCTGGCATTTGAATAACAGTCATGATAGTTCAAGAGGACCACCCATTGTTGAGGAGAAAAGTGGTTATCTTACATTGGTTGTCGGCTTAGTCAGTGTCATTATATATTAATATATTGTGGGGGGTGGTTATTGTTTAGACAGGTGGTCGTTAGAGGTTTGACTGTGCATTATATTGTAAATGTTGTGAAAATGATGAGTTGTCAATGATTAACCCTCTGTACTTAGGTCTTTTTGAGGTGGGCTTCTTTGTTAAAGCATCTCAGCAGTCCAGAATATTCTACAAAATAACTTTCGCTTATACCTAATGCCCATTGGTTCAGTCGATTTGGTAGGCAGGGCTAGCTAGATTGAGGGCACAAAGAAACCCACAAACCGATCGCCCAACTCGCAGCCTCAAAAGCACCATATGTTTTCAAGGCTGCGAGTCGGGCGATCGGTTCGTATAAGAGAACCAATCCTCCAGTGAGCACTGGGTTTTAGGGAATGTGAACTCCCGTCTTATTGTGTGCAGTTAACTGCCTTACCATAACACTACAGCCACTGGTAGAATGTGACAGTTGTTTGTTTGAAAAACACAGGTGTGTAATCATTTAAATATTGTTTTTCATTCCTAGCGCTCCTGATTTTGATTTAAAAAAACATTTGTATGTTTTTCTTGTGTTATTCAAAGGATAATTTTAAATGTAGCTTTTCGGGTGAGGGCTGTCCCTGGTCATATTTTTGTAGTGTTTCTCCTAGCGCTGTTTATTCAAAAGGATCTTTGTAGACATGGCTTTGGGGAAATTTTGATTTAAAGCTGCTGTTACGGCTTTGTTTTCATATGTTTGTAGTCATTGTTTTTAAAAAATAGTATGCCCCCATTTTTCCTTTAGGGAACATCAACATTTGTCTGATGGGAGACCCTGGTGTAGCCAAGTCCCAGCTCCTCTCCTACATTGACAGATTAGCTCATCGAAGTAAGTGTTGGGTGGTTGGCGGGTGCTCTGGTGTGGTTTGCTCTTTCTCGCCTGTATCGAACTTCCATCGTCTTTATCTCCCCTCCTTTTTTGTGTTTGTTATTCTTTTGTATCACCTCTAATCTTCTGCACTTATATGACCTAATTGTGTTGCAAGTGCTGTAAAAAAACCCCAGGGCAGTGCCACTGACTGCAGTGTCTTTAGGCCATTCCCAAAGGGGGGACATTTCTCGTTCAAGCATGGTAGAATTGTAAATGGGCTGACTCATGTCACGCTCATAACTGCCTGATCTACAACAAGGAACTGCTGCTTTTTCTTTCCTGATCCTTACTATTGTCGTTTTCCTCTACTTCTTTTGTATGTTTGTCACTCTCTTGTGACCTGCTATTTCCGGGGTGCCTTGATAGTCGAAGCAGACCGTGTGCTGTTGAAGCAAGAGTGGTGAGCAGTGTAAGTCTGATTCCCTGTAAAGACTTTTTTGTTGACACCCACCCCCTGGAGCTCATATGACCTTTTGCAGTTGCGAGCGCCGTAAAACCCTCTATTAAAAAAAAAGTGCTGTAAAACTTTAAAAAAAAAATTAATTAAAAAAAGACATAAAAAAACCTCCAAGCAACAAGTGTGTGTGGAATGGAATATTGCTGAGAGTGTTTGTTGTCTGTGTTTCAATCTGTAAGCTGTAGTGTCAGTGCGAATGTTGGAGGGTGCAACTGACAGGTCATACTTCATTTTCATCTTGTGGTTTCTATCAGTCGTGCTGTACTTTTTTTTCTTGGCAATACATAATAGTTGACTTGCTTCTCCCTACTCAAGCTAACAAGCTCATTTCTCCCTAATACTGTGGATGGTTGGCGGGTGGTGTGGTTTTTTACTTTTCAATCAAAATCTATTGTTTTTATCTCCCCTCTTAATTGTATGTTACCGTCTAGTAACACCTCTGATTTTGTATGTCCTAATTGTGTTGTAAGTGCCATAAAACTTATACTGAAGCTGAAACTAAACTTGTTTCTTCCCTTCATTCAGGTCAGTACACGACAGGCAGAGGTTCCTCCGGGGTGGGTCTGACAGCGTCCGTCATGAAGGACCCAGTCACTGGGGAGATGATGTTGGAGGGCGGGGCTCTGGTGTTGGCGGACGAGGGTGTGTGCTGCATCGATGAGTTTGATAAGATGATGGATGGTGACCGCACGGCTATCCACGAGGTCATGGAGCAGCAGACCATCTCCATCGCCAAGGTAATTAAAAAAAAAAATCTGTACACGGGTGGTTGGCGGGCGCTCTGGTGAGACTTGCTCTTTCTTTCTTGTCAAACATTTATTGTTCTTATCTCTTCTCCTTTTCTGTGTGTTTCTCTCTTGTAGCATCTCTCATCTTTGTCACTGTTATCCTGTTTGTGTTGCAAGTGCCTTAAAATCAAAACAAAATCTTGTGGGGTAAACTTTGTTTCTGACTGAAGGATATTGCAGAGTATATTTATTTCCTACTGGTGAGCATTATGGTGATCAATTAATAAATTTCTGTCTTCCAGTTCCGGGTACATGTAAAGTAGCTGGGGAGAGCATCATCTATGGAAGTGTGCACTCCTTTTCCTTTCTGTTTTTTATTTTGTTTGGTTTTTTAGTCTATTAATTTCCTCTGTTTATTTCCTTTCACTAAATGACGGTTAATGTGTTGATGTGCTTTTCTCAAGGATGCCATTTTCCCGCTTTTTTCCGGTATTTCCGGTATTTTGATTCTGATCTGCTATTCCGTTATTGAGACCGAGATAGAATCTATAGTTCTCTATATACACCCTTTGGGTTTCAAATTGATATTTATGTTAACGAGACGGTGTCGTGTGGATTTTCAGCTATTTAAAAAAAAGTTGAGTGATATCCCTGTTCTCTACTCAATCCTCTTTTTGGTGGCCTTTGGGTTATGTGTGAATTTGTACTCTTTCAGGCTGGCATCATGACCAGTCTGAATGCCCGGGTGTCAATCCTGGCGGCTGCTAACCCGGCTTATGGCCGCTACAACCCGCGCAAGTCGGTGGAACAGAACATTCAACTGCCAGCCGCGCTGTTGTCTCGTTTTGACCTTCTCTGGTTGATCCAGGACAAGGCTGACCGGGAGAACGATCTCAGGTATGTAAACAACGGCCAGTCGCCATTTGGGGAACTGACAGTTCCCCGAGAAAGTCCTGGGACATTTTTTCCCCGTTTCATATCATCTACCAGTGGCTCATACATTTGTTCTGAAGACACCTGGCTTGGAAATTATATACTGGAATTCTGTGTACAGTGGAAGTGATGACTGGCTCAGTATTTTTTTGGCACAATTTTGTGTATTTTAGTTGTCGTGACTCGCCAGCCTTTGGGTTATTAGGACAGCTGATTTAGAGACGAGTTCACTGGCAGCAGCTATCAAGTTTGCATTTTGTACCAACCTTTGAAAGAATATAACATATTTAACCTCCAGGGCCAAGTAAACTTCCTCTGCTGGTATGTTTTGGGTGTTTCTGGAGAACTTCAATAGATAAAGAGCTTAAAATATCCCAACGAAGGAAAAACAATTGTCCTCTTTCTCTTTCTCTTTCTCTTTCTACATCTCCCACCTTTCTTCCTCCTTGCTCGTTTAAGTTTTTCTTTTTATTCGTTAAAAAAACAACCCAACTTTTTTCCTCTCTAGACTGGCCAAGCATATCACCTACGTCCACCAGCACAACGTTCACCCACCCTTGACATTCCAGCCCCTGGAGATGAAGCTCATGAGGTAAGCTGTTTGTTTCTAGAACGGTGACCTGGAATGTTTGTAGTTCATGAGATGGAGTGTAACTGTCTATGAATATTTCATGCTGAAGCTAGAGAGGTGAGCAGAGTAAGCCTGATTTCCTGTAAGGGCTTCTCTGTTGACATCCACCCCTCGGTGCTCATATAACCATATGCAGTTGCGAGCGCCGTAAAACCTCGACTAAAACAAAACAAAAGTTGTTCAAATGTCCTGAGCCCCATGTGTGTGTTTTTTTTTTTTTTATTGCAATTTTTAAGTCTGTGGTATTGGTTGCATGTGCTAGAGAAATATTTTGTCAAAACAAATGTAAGTACAATTGTTCAAGGAAAAAAATTATCCTTTTTTTTTTCTCTCTTGAAAAAAATTGTTCTCTGGGTTATGAACAGTTGTATCTGTCAACCAACTTTATTCATAAAGACTGTGTTCTCTGGATATGATATGGCTCATTATTCTCAGGTACGTAGCAGAAGTAAGGTAATTTAATAGTGCTCCGTCCGTGGTTTTGGAAAACTGTACTGTTGTGATTATCCGTGGTCAGTAATGTAGTTAAAAAAACTAGGTTGACAAATATATTCAAAAGGTATTGTACAGAACAGTTTTACTTTCATTGCTTATGCGCATATTTATCTTGTGTTACTATGTACATACACAGGATTTCACTATTTTTATTTTTTTAAAGGCATGTTGAAAGGGCCCACCTCCCATGTAATTTTATTTATTTTGACGGATTTGAAAAACACTGACAAATTTAATTTTCAATAGACATTTGTTTAAGACGTATGTGTTGATCCCCCCCAGACGTTACATTGCCCTGTGCAAGTCCAGGAATCCAACTGTGCCAGAGTCGCTGGCTGATTACATCACCGGGGCGTATGTGGAGATGAGGAAGGAGGCCCGGAACAACAAGGACATGACCTTCACCTCTGCACGTACCCTGCTTGCCATCTTGCGCCTGGCCACGGCCCTAGCTCGACTCCGTCTTGCTGACACAGTGGAGAAAGAGGACGTGAACGAAGCCATGAGGCTGATGGAGATGTCGAGGGATTCCCTGAACAACATGCACGACGCACAGACTAGGTAGGGAGAGGATGCAGCTAGTTAGCCCTACTTCTTATCCATCTCTATTGTTTCTGTCTTTCTTTTTTTCTTTTTGGCACTAAATGGCCAGGGGTGGTTTTGTTTGGTTGTTGTGTTTTTTGTTTTGTTTTGCGATTTTTTGGTGGTGTGTTTCTTTTTATTCAAAGGAAGGTAGAAGATATGGACAAACCTCTACAAGCCTTGAGAGTTTTGGAAATGTTCAGTGGTTTCATGTGGTTGGTTGGCGGATGCTTTCGCATGGTTTGCTGCTTCTTTCCTATCAAACAAATATTTTCCCTTGTCTCTCCACCATTTCTTTGTATGTTACTCTCTAGTAACCTTTGATGTTCGGCATTTATATTATCCATCTGTGTTGCAAGTGCTGTAAAACTTACTAAAGTTTCAAGTTAACCCGTGTTTGACTGTAGTAGTGTTTTTGATGGTTCCTTTTTTACGGACATTGAAGTTCTATGCAAAAGTTCAGAAACATAACAACGTTTAGCCTCTCGAGGCAGTGCAGACACACACACAGAGTTGAGCGTTGTTCTATACAGACACTGACTCGTGCATCTTCATTGATTTTGCATCTAGTTTTTTTTTCTTCTTCTCGTTCCATCTTGAAATGGACATCCCAGTCTCTAGTGCAAAGGCTGCTATTCGTTGCAGGTCCTCCAGGCCCCCAAAGAGTTTTGGGTCTCTCTGCTTTGGGTTGGGCCAATATTTCTTTCTAACAGTGCATTTTGTACCTGCAGATTGATCAAAATCTGGGGAACTTTTTGTGCCACTTTCCTCCTTTCTATCATTCCCTCATTCTGTCTGTCTATCTTCGGATTGTTGCCGCTGCTGGAAAAGTGTATATTGACTTGTGATCGTAGAAAACTACTGCCAGAAAGAAACTTTTCGCAAGTTTATTGTCTAGATCTAGAGAAATTATCAGTGCGAAGATTCTACGGCATGGGAACGCAAAAAGGGCCGCTATGAAAGAAATTTGTGCTAAAACTACTAAAATCAAGAATAATTCGAAGTGATGTTCCGAGGTTGTGACATGCGACATTCAGACGTGAAAATTGAGGAAAATTAGAGTATACGCTGGGTAACTGTATTGTAAAGGTACATATCTATTCATTATTTCCAGGTTTGCCTTCTATCAATGGTGCGATGACAAATTAATTGAATTATAGTTGCAATGGAAGGGGAACCTGCTTTTAAACATTGCCAGCAATGGAAAAATATGTGTGAAGAATTCAAACAAAACAAAATTTTGGTGAAAAAATAGGTAGTATGGGTTGTTTGCAATCTCTTCAAACTGGCTCCCAAATGCCATTTTCAACCCTCTTAAAGTACTAAATTTCAAATTCTTCGGGGGCGCGTTGTCCCTGGACCCTGCTGGGGGGCTGTGCGGCCCCCAGACCCCCAGCAGAATTTTCCTTACTTTTCAGATTCGCCTGGTGGAAGCACTGTTCTAAGCACCTCAAGCATTGAGCAGGCTTGCAGCAAATGGTTCCGTTTGAACGCCAGTTCTGCTCTGAATTTCCGATCTTGAACTTCGTGTAGAAGTTGTGTTTCAGTCAGTTATCTGGCTTTATTGTTTCCATTCTTCTGTGGGGGCCGCGGCAAATGTTGCTGGCAAAGTTTATTATTGCTATTTTGTATTATTTAACTAGGATTACATATTTAGGTGTCTGCATTTTTCTAGAAAGTCATTGCATGCAGAAAATATTACTTCAGTTTGTATGTAAGGAATTTAATTTTATCAAGTGTCTCCGTCTGCTGTGTTGTCGTGTCAACTCCAGTTGGCCCTGATGGGCAAGGTGGAAGCAGTCGACCCCCAAAATGGTGTAAATGGCCTTGATGGGGGGGTGCAATACATTTTTACATTCAACCACATAATGTGTTCTTCCTTTCCAGGAGCCAGAACCCGACTGACCAGATCTACCAGATGATCAGAGAGATGGCGCCGGCCACCGGGGCCAAGTCGGTCAAACTGTCGGACGTCATGGAAGTGGTCACGTCTAAAGGGTTCAAACCGGACCTGGTGCAGGTCTGCATCGAGGAGTACGAGGATCTCAACGTATGGCAAGTCAACTCGGCCCGTACGCGACTCACATTTATCTAAGTGTGTGTTGTCTGGACTTTTGGACGTTGTTTGGACCTTTTCATTTGGACAGTCTGGGCAATTGACATGTGGATGTTGGACATTCAAAATTTAGATTGTCTCAGCATTTGAACTTTTTACGTCATCTGGACATTGTCTTGGCATTTGACTGTTGCCTGGACATGACATGTGGACATTGTGAGAAAGTGGTGTCAGTGTAAAAAAAAGTTTTCTGAAGAGTATCTGACAGTGACTGCCGGTGGCTGCATGCACCTTGTATTGTAGTGTAAGATAAAGATGTAGTACCAACTGTTGGATACATCATTACGGTCAGGACAATAATTTGCTACCAATACTGGTTGCCTCTTTGTTGGTTTATAAATTTTGGAACTGAACCTTTTGCCAAGTTGATATTGCTGCTGTGCTACTGTTAAAAATGTCAGTCTAACTTACCTACGAATGTGTCAAGGAGGTACCAATTTTTGGGATAATGTCACATAACCTTTGAATTCCCTTGCATGTTGTCATGGGGTCTGAAAAGTTCAGGAGTATTTTCATAGCCAGTTGGCATCTCTGTATAGGTTTTGCCCTTTTAATGGTACTGCTGTTTTATAAGCCGTCGTGACATGAAGCAGTGTTACATAATGCATAGTTTGTCATTTGCTGTCAGAATATGTTTTACGTAAGTCAAACTACGCATCACTGTCACTTACATTCATCTTCTATCATCTTGTGAAATATTCAACACAGTTATAGGTTGCTCTCTGTAAATTCTTCCTGCAACGCGTGAAATAAAAATCCAGGCTTAGAGAGAGTATTGTCCAACTTAAAGCTCTGTTTCATGCTAGTATTGAATTGGATGTTGATATATTCCCAGTTCCCAGGGTCACTCATATTTCATTGTAAGAATCATCTTTTACTGCAAATTTCAAATAAATCATAAGGAAAAGAAATGTGTTGGTTCTGTTCGTTCGTCTTTAGTGTTGTATCCAGTTTGCTGGAAATGTTAGTTACTGTTTATTGTGCGTGGCTGGTTTATGGGCGCTTTTGTGTGGTTGCTTGTTCTATCCTATCAATCATCTATCTTTATCTCTCCTTTTTTGTACTCTCTTGTAACGTCTTAAACACTGGGCGACAAAATTAAACTTTTTTCTTCAGCATGGAATTTGAGACTTGATTTATAGTCATTCGAGGTCACTGAAACCAAAAATGGTGTGGGTGCTTGGCTTGTGCTCTGATGTGGTTTGCTTTTTCTTTCCTATCAAACGTCTATTGTCCTTATCTCTCCTCCTTCTTTTTTGTGTTTGTTTCTCTCTTGTAACACCTCTTGTCTCGGCACTTATATGACTAAAACCAAAAATTTCAAAAATGGCATCATTTTAGCTCTATTACCTCAAGTTTTTGCTCTATGGTGTAACCACTGTTTTTTTTTGTGGTAAGGTACAGTAGTCTCCGCTCAAGATCCCACCTTTTTTAAAACATAATTTTTACTATACAAAAGTCACCCCTAAGATCCCGGTCTGTCTCACTCAGAAGGTCTACATTCGGCTAAGATCCTGCCTTTCAGATAATAATTTACAGTTCAAAAAACCCCGGGTCGGCACAGCCGATCAACCAAGAGTGAAGAGTTGAGATCATTGAACTGCCGGTTGCATCAAAGATCAAACACTCTCGTGAATATGATCACATAAACGTTGTAAAACTTGATGGAACGGAACAATATTCACCCCAGACGGGATCACACAGTTGTGTGAACTGACCGACGCGTTTGTTTCACCCAAACATCACACTCGCATCTGAGCTCTCCACCTAAACTTCTATCAATCGCTTTGTGGGTAGGACCTACACATTCGCTCCAGGCGGGATCCCATTGAGTTGTGACCTCTTCCATGACCATTGCAGCAGTAAATTGTCTCTATTCCCGAATTTGGGTGATAGACTAAATTTTAATTGGTGTGGTTACAACATAATATAGTGTGTAACGACAAAGGCAGGGGAACTCGGGTATTAAAATGAAAGCTATAACATTTGGACAGATGAGGGGAGGGGCAACTGGATACGCGTAGAACTTTTAGACTCATGGGATAATAATGTAAGTGTAAATGGCATGCCTCATGCCACTGTGATGGGTCATCAAGGTTGACCACTCTTTGATTGCCATATAATATATATGTCATAAACCCACCCAGGGGTCATGTCAGTTCATTTCAGAGTGGAGGGAGACCATTTTACCGGCTGTGGGCCTTAACATGGGTCACAGTAGATTTTTCCCTTGGTCAGCTAAGATCCCGCATTTTCCTTGCTCCCGAGCTCCGGGATCTTAGGAGGAGACTACTGTATACAATTAAATTAAATTAGCCACAATGATAACAAGTGCCAACCATGTTCAGAATGTTGAGGGGAAAAAAATCTTTCAAATAATTACGCTATATGAAACAATTCATGAAAGTATTGAAAGTCCTGTGCTTTTCCGAATTTCAGGTATGAGAAAATAAGGGCTGGTATTTTCGATAACCCCCAGATCAGAAAATTGATGAGACTCGATGAATGACATAATGTAGACATTGGGAATCGTTTTTGTCTTTGGTGAAATTTGTTTTGGACGACAGAGAAGCCAAAAATTCCAAGAACATGGTCAAAACTTTGTAAGAAAACATCGTTTGGGCTGCAACACGAGCATCAAGTTTCATTTATAAAAAGTAAACAACAGATTTACATAGCGATTTAGATGATTTTCCTTAAAACTGGTAATATCAGTAGCATGGTGCAAGATTTCATAAAGACTTCACAATTATGGAAGAGAGGTATCAAGGCTGAACTGATGGGACATCAACACAATACATAGTAGATTACTGTTGATGACATTCTTTTCTCCAACTGCTGTTAGTAGTTATAGCAGGGACAAAGGCTAGTTAACTATAAAATGTAAAAAGTAAGAGAGTAACGCAGTGATGGAGCAAGCCCACGCAAGCTACGCCACTGCAAGCACACGCAGCGGGTGAAGCGAGAGAGGGCTGTGGTGTGCTGCAGACTTCAGTCTAGCCCTAAGCATAGGCCTAGCTGTACACTACACGCACGCGTAAAATGTGTCTTGTGCAGGCCTACCACATGGCCAAAACTCCTGTTCGTGGGTACTTGCCTTGTGGCAAGGGAAACTACCCATGAATAAAAACAACTGGATTAGTCCACAAATGCTTACTTCCCTTGCATTTCTGATTTAACAGGGATCGGATATAACAGGTTATATCAGGTTATTTAACAGGGATCGGATATAACAGGTTATATCAGGTTATTTAACAGGGATCGGATATAACAGGTTATATCAGGTTTCCACTTCTGTACCCACTCCGCTCCTCCAGTATGGCTTCATGAAATCAGCCATGAACGCAGCGATTTTCAACGTTCTTTCTTTTTTTTTTGGAGGGGGGTGGTTGGTTAGTTAGTGGGTGCTCTGGTTCGTTTTTTTCCTTCATTCCAATCTAGCATCCATCGTCCTTATCTCTCCTCCATTTTTTGTATAATGCTCTCCAGTAATAATAACACTTCCGCAGGCGCGGTTCGTTCATAGAGCACGGTCGTGCAGTGCCGCCCCAATTTTTTAAATATTCTATTAAGAAAAGCATCCACAAACATAAAATAAAAGAAGTCAGAAACAAACACTAGCCAAATATTATTTCAAAACAAGGTCGTCGCAGGCGCCTTAACTGTCATTTCTGTGTCAAAAGCGCCGTAAAACATCTAGATCTACTACGCCATGCCAAAGTTCACGCGCTTTAACTGAACATAATAGGATATTCAACAGTGGTAACCTGACCTGTAAATCGCTCTTTGGGATAACCCAAACGATGACGACACTCGTTTAAAGAGTATGGCGGTACATTAATATTAATAAGACGGCACATCTCAAATGTGCACCCACGGAACAGCCCTCAGTAGGCAGTCTAAAAATAAACGCGATAGACTGCACACTATTCTATGCCAGAATTATGTGATCCCCAGAGCAATTCAGCGGAGTGTTCAAATGAATTGTGATTGGTTCATTGTCTTGCCACTATTTTAAGCGACTCTGTGACCGTGAACCTAAGGGGGGTGAACGTGACATACTTAAGTCACAGTCCTGCGTCCTGTGAGTTGTGCCTTCGCATGGTTTCGTAGAGGAGTGGTGAAATGTATTACTTGAGTGTTCAGTTCCAATGCAGGATGAAGAAACTGACGTTTAGCTAACAAATAGATTTAGTTCTAGAAATCGAAGCGACAATCCATTTACTATGCCCCTGACTATCTTCAGCCTGCTATAGCTTAATTGTGCACGCCCACTTTTTAGCCCCACGAGCCACCCCTGCACATCGGCACATATGACCTAACTGTGTTACAAGTGCCGTAAAGCTGACAAAAGCCAACACCATGTACAAACTATTTTCTTAAAACTATTCAATAATTTTTCCTAGGGTCGATTTTCTTTTTAAAAATAAAAGCTTAGATTTCATTTTAGGTAAGCCCTTACACAATGTTCCCATCACATGAATACATGTATATTATATTGCTGGGTGAGAGATACCGTTAAGTGACTTAATTTTAGAACCTGTTCGTGGTCTTAGAACCGAAATGTGGTCTTATTACCTGAAACAGCTTTTTTTTTTCTCTTGATCATTCAAAGTACTTAGTTCTTAGCATTGAAATTAATCTTTACTTTTTTCGTATATGACAAGCTGCAGTAAACAATAAATTATTTTATTTTATAATCTTTTCGTAGTCTTTGGAGCATCAAACACCTTCATTTTCATCCAATTTACTTAAGTCAAATTTTATTTTTTGTTATTACAGTTTGAGTTATGGGTGTAATCTGAATTTTTTTCGATTGTGTTAAGCTGTAGGGAACAACAAACAACTTTTTTAAGAACCTAATTTTGGTTTTAATAACTGGATACAGATTTTTTTGTTTGTTATCCAAATTACTTACGTTCATTTTTTTTTCGGTTATTACACTCTTAGCAATGGATGTAATCTATATGTTTACGTACGTGCATGGCTCTAAAAAACAACAAATAACCTTGCTTTAGAACGTAATTTTGGTCTTAGAAGCTGGGAACAGCTTTTTTTGTCTTTACATTTTCAGAAATGGATGTAATCCATATTTTTAAAAATCAGTGTCCAACAGTAGTAAACAAAGAATGAATTTACTTAAGAACCTATTTGTAGTATTTATAGCTGAAAGCACCTTTGTTTCCATCCGATTTACATGTACTTAGCTCAATTTCTGTGTCGGTCATTACACTTTCAGTAATGAATGAATGTAATCGATACATTTTCGTAAGTGACAAGCTGAAGCAAACCAAAAACAAAAAAGAAACCCTTTGTGTTAGAACTTATTGGTGGTCTTTAGAGCTGCAAACACCTTTAAAAAAATTAAACTACAAAGGTTAATTTTTAAGTCGGTCATCACAATTTCAGTAATGGATGTTATATGATTTTTAAAAATTTTTTGTGAGTGCCAAACTGTAGGAAACGACAACAAATTTTGATTTAGAACCTAGTTGTAGTTGTAGAAGCTGGAAACAGCTTTTTTTGTCATAAAAATTGCCTAGGTTAAGTTTTTGTCGGTCGTTTCACTTTCAGCAATGGATGCAATCCATAGCGTACTCTACTAACAGGCCTACTCAGCGTGCGGCTGGGGTCTCGGACTGGGGGCCTACTATATCATTTAAGTATTAACGTCTATTTATCCAGTCGACTCCATATTCAGTCTCTGAGCATTGTTTCCAAAGGTAATTACAATATTTAGTCTTAAGTGACATAAAAATAAGAGCCTAATAATTATTTATTTACTACTTAGCCCTATTACTATTAGATCTGTTATGCAATTTAGAAAAAAAAATCGAAATCAACGTCCATATAAAACAATCTAAACAAGACATGACTAGATCTATTTACTGTACATGCCTTATAAATAAGT